TGCTTTGGGGTGACACCAGAGCTCCTTGTTGAAACAGGACAATGCCCCGTTTGTAACAGCCACGGCTTGGAGAGCGCTTACTCTGCTTTCACTCTCTTGCTTAACAAGAAAGCCCCAGCTATACTTAACAATAACATAGTTTCATAGCAGCTAGGGTCAGGAGGGACCTGAACAGATCATCTCGCCTGACCCCCTGCCACAGGCAGGAATGAATGCTGGGTTCACAAGACCCCAGACAGGTGAAATAACAATGGGAAGTAAAGCGTTCATGACCTAGAGTGTATTCAGTGGCTTCAGCAAAGGGTAACTACTAGAAATGCACATTCAACAGTAGTCCCACCAGAGTGAAAGTGCTAGCTCTGGTGTCTTGGACAAACCCTACGTTGAGCAAATGCATTCTGCTTCCCTAAACTCTCCTTGACGTTGCGGCTGGATATTTCACTGTTCACTGGCTGTGCTGAAGTATGGCTGTGTGCCACTGAACAGCTGCCAGATTCCACCATTTCAGGACTGGGCAAAATGATTTTCTATCCAGGCTGACCTCAAGCTGTGTGAAACACTTTAGAATGCATTGGGGGTATGACCCAGTATCATGTTGGTTAACACAGATTTCTTGTTGAGCACAAGAAATTAAGATATGCTGCCCCTTCTGGAAGAGAATAACCTGGTGGGGTATCAGTTTTGCTGACTGTCTGTAATACTCAGTGCTGCAGGCACACGAGGATTCCTAACACAAGCCTGGGAAGCAATAAACTGCTTGCACACATGGGAACAGATCATCCTACCATGCACAATGTAGCAGGATGCTCTACCCCATTGTCACATCCATATGGCAGTGCCTCCATTTTCATACACAAGCATGTCCTGCAACAATCACTTCCTTCGCAGCACTCTGCCCTGGCCTCACCTTTGTACAGACACCCACCTCACCACTGTCCCTTCTTCTGCTGGCCCCTGTGTTTGGCAGAACTGCCCTACACAGTCAGCCCATAATGTCCACTGTACAAAGGGTTCACAGTGCTCTTGAACTCACATTCACAGAGCAATTCCTACATGAATTTGCACCCAATGGCCTTGTCTCATAGTATCTGTGAATGATTTATACAGTATATTTCTCACCCATCAGGTGAGGCACAGAATAAAAAATCTATTAATAAATCATTGCTGTATCGCTGTATCACAGGCCACAACACATCACCAGCATTCAGCCACGCCAGCCACATTCACTTGCACCACAACACCACAACCTGCAAGCAATTCATTAAAATGTGATGACTGTTTTCTGTGACCAAGAAACTTGGGGATCCAGAATGAGACCACCTGAGCTTGGGTTCAGCCGCAACAGCAAGGTGCGCAGCCTTTTTCTTGCAAAAACAGCTCCTGCATCTCTACGGTCCATGCAGGCTGTACTAACATGACTTAGAGCCAGAATGGGTATCTCTGCCCAGCAGTCATTGCACTGGGTAAATATACCCTTAATGACACAACATGGTCAGGACCCCAGTGCCATGTAAAGATGGCACTTCTGACAGCTAAGTAACCCACTAACACTACACAGGGGCATTGCTCACTACAAACCCACAAAGGACGGGGCATAAGCAATATCACCATCATTTTCACTCTGCCACAGTTTGGGTTTATCTTGATCTCCCAACAGTCCAAAGTGGCATGGCCACCAGCAATGAGAAATAAGCCATGCCCGTGTCTGTCTACCACCATGTCAAGCAACACAGTACTTACCACACGTGAACAAAACAGTGACACATGTAAGCCCATGTCCTGACTCTGAGAGTGGCCAACTGTCAGAAGATGTCCAACACCATTTTCCTCCATCTAGGAATGCCTCCTGCACGTTCACCTATTCATCTGTCTCTAGCAAGGCCTTGAACATATGCACAAAGAATGCTGCAGACATTGTGAAGACCACCTTAGATTAATGGTACATCTACAAAGTCTACAGTCAAGGTGACTGCAGTTCATGTAGCTATACGCAAGTATACTTAAGTAACCATGGCAGCATGTAGCAGCATGGAGCTCAGTGTTAGCTGCAAAACTGCTCACACTGAGCTCTATACTGTTGCAGCTACGCTGTTAGCATACCCAAGGTAGCTGGCTTATAGGCAGCTGGGGTATCTGAGTGATACAAGAAGCAAGAGGCTTTGACTGAGGTGAAGATCTTCAGGAACAATTTTACATGCTTGCAAAATCCCATTTTCCTAAAACCCCACTAGACTGTGATAGGAGCCACACTCTTCTTTGCAAATTCCCCACCCTCTGCGTGGCCAAAATTATAAACTCTCCAAAGCCTCAAATGTGCTTCTGCTCCATGAAGTCATGGCAATGCAACTAGCTGAAAGCCACGCCCCACATTGGCTCTGCTTCCCTGTTTCAACCATTCCTGTAGCTACATGACCCATTCACAGCCCACCTCTTAAGCCATTAAGCCCCTTCTCCTTTTGGCACGGCCATAAGCTGATCACAGTCCACTGTTTGGATCACTGCTCAATGGGCACTATGCGGAGGAGACTGGCACTGGAAACCCACAGCAGGTGTCCCCTAGGGCAGGGCGCTGATTTACCACCAACTTGTTGAGACAGTCTGGGAATATGTGGAGTGAAATTTTGGCCACCATCTTCTGTGGCAGAAAGATCACAGGCCCTGCACAGGCTCACAGAGAGAGCCTAGCAGAGCCATCAGAAAAATCAAACTTGATCCTGCTGGCACTTCTCTACTGATACCCAGGCTCTCAGCCCCCAAGGCCCTTCTCCCCTGGACTTATATGATTTATATAGGGAGCTGGGACTTGTGTTCTGAAGCTCTTTCCTCCATTTTGAATGCAACAACACAAAGCAGACTCAGCTAGTGAAGAAGAGGGGGCTGTGGAAGGGGCAGCTAGTGAAAGGATGTGACTTGGGGTTTGCGTATTTTTAAAGGTTTCCAAGAAAGCGTCTTGTCTCTCAGACTCTCAGCCTTGAGCTGCCAAATCAACACAAACCTCTGTGAAACCCTGTCCCTTCCTCCTGAAAGTCCTGGGAGTTCCAGTTTGTAAAGCTTGATATTTTCCCTCTAATTGTAAGCTTGAAGAAAGAAACAGGAGGAAGTACAACATGCAGAAGGAGGAGGTACTTGAAGCCAGCGCTGTGCGTAATTCTTCCCTATCCCCAACTGTAGTATGTTTTGAAACTGTCCCCTGCAGAGAAATGACAGGTTATGTGACTATGCTATCTGCCTGGCAGGGGGTGCCAGGGCTGGTTAGAGAGAGGAGGCCAAGGCACCTTTGTGACATTGATGAGCATAATGTGCATGTCACACAGCTGCATGGTGAAGAGGAGTTATGGTTATGGCATGGCATGACTTGTCTGGCCTGTCTTGCAGTGCAATGGAAAGGTAATAAGGAACTTGGCTTGATCCCAGGTTCGACTAGATGATCTCTTGAGGTCACTTCCAACCTTACTTCTCTGTGATGAACTATGAAATGGCTTTTCAGCTTCCTGCGACAGGCCACCATAGGTTTCTCCAAACCAGTCAGCCTGTGACCTGCCTTTCATTCCACAAAGATGCTCATTGCCTATCAGTGCTGCGTGGTTATCGACTGTGTTACAGTCATGTGCAGACATACCAAACAGCTGGTGCCCACTCTGCTAGGCACTGCACATACATCTCTGACTGAGATCATCTCTAACCTGGGGATGCTAAGCTCTAAGTAGGCAAGAGAGACAAAAGGTGAGAGAAAAGGATACAAGATACTCCCAGCTTAGCCTTTCTGCCATTCCCTCTCATTCCACTGGGATCTTTTTATTCATAACACAAGCCAACCAACAAAAAGAATATGGATAAATGACTCTGAAGATGCAGGATCCAGTGCAAGTATGGTGTCAAAATTCATAGCCTCTTTATTTACAGTTGTCCCATAATTTTCCACCCTTGCAGCATCACCCTCCTTAGGTCTATACACTGCCAGACTGATTCTCAATCAAGCATCAAATTTGTTTGCTAGGTTGAAAGAAATGGTTGGAAGCCAAGATTTTCCATAGTGACTTGTGATATTCTGTGTCTTCATTTTAAGGTGCTTGTCTCGAACGTCTCTGTAAAACAGTCTCCTCATACAGAGGGCAGAAACTCAAGTGTTTTCTGAAAAGCAGGGTCCCTTTGAAGGTGTCTCAAGATGATAATCCAAAGACTGAGACACCAAAAATCATAAGGCATTTGTTTTTTAAAATCTTGATCTGAATTACAGGCATGCATCTTTGTTACAAAATGTTAACCTGTGTTTTATCCTGCAAATCTAGAACTCAGCACTGAATTAACTTCTGAATCATCACATTTTGTGCATGTTACATATATTTAATGTAATAAGAGCAATGAACGGATGATTGAAATAATCTGAAATAAAGATAAGAGAAATGACTGAATGAATACCCTAAAGCTAATGGTAATCACACAGTAACCCAGACCACCTGTAATCTAAGGAAACCACTGCTTTTTCAACTCTAATTAACACTGATAACTTGAACCTTCTTGACGACTGCTGAAATTACTTTGAGATGAATAGTTTGGAAAATATCAGAAATGAAATGCTTTTACCAGGTGCATAATCACAGAATCCCAGATTATTTTTTTTGAAGTCTGTGGGTTTTCTAATATGAATATAGTTATGTTAATAATATTTTACATCATGGTGCCAGAGCAAATATTAATAAACTACATGCCTCACAACATGCCTGCAGAGTAGGTAAGCATTAGCTGCATTTGTACCTAGCTTAATGAGGTATAGCGTAGTTAAGAGACTTGTCCAAGATAGGCAGTTAGTCCATTGCAGGGCTAGCAATAGAAATTGCTTTTGCAGAGAAGTGCTAGTTTATGACAAAAAAAAGCACCACAGCCCTGCAATGGGGGCATGCAGTTGGGACTCAGCACACCTGTACTAAACTCCTGGCTTTGCTGCTGATAGGCTGGGGAACCTTGGCAAGTCAACACATCTGTGTTCCCTCACTCATCCCCTATCTTGCCTGTAAACTCCTGGAGACTCCTGTTTGCAGTGAGCTGGAAAATTGCTTTTAAAAGTAGGTAAAAAAAAATAAAGATCCCTATTTGACCCTGGTGGTCTACAGAAATGTGTTGTGGGATGAAATGTGGAGCTTGAAACTGCAAAGATAGCTGGGTACTGCTGCCAAGTGCCAGTGGATAGTTGTTATTACCTATGGTAAAGGATTTAGCAGGAATTAAGAGAATGATAAGGCAAAGGAAAAAAAGAGAAGGGCTATTAAGTCATTGCCAATGGCAGGCATGTAGTAAGACAGGAGTAATGCACATAGCACTTGATTCACCACTACCTCATCCTCCACCTCTTCCCTTCCCTGAGTTGTCTTGTCCTGTCCAGTAGGTGTCTTCTGACATCAGCTCTCCGAGCACGGCCTGACTTACTGACAAGTGTGCTCGTGATGCCTTGCACAATGGAGTTTTCATTCCTGCATGGACCATGGGGGTGCTATTATTACAGTCATTGTCCTTACAGAAGCAAGCAAGTAAAGCCGCTACCATGGATCACTGAGGGAAGCCTATTTATGCAATTAAAACAATTGGGAACAATTACTACAGAGGCATGATGGATTTATGTCCTATGAAAATGGGTAACACCTGAAGCAAACCCAAGTCACTTCTGAAGCAGAGGATGTTGCCTATGCTGATGATGGTGACTGTACTTTGTAACAAAGGCAGCTGTCCGACAGGCTGCATTCACAAAACCAGATGCTGAAATACAGAGTGATGATGAATCAGCCAAGCTATCCAGATCCAGCAACAGCAATGAAAAATGCTCAGCTACTCACCAGGCTCATGCTTAAAAATGAAAAGACAAGAGAGAGAACGCTGTGGATTTGCACCAGCAGACAGCTGACCACTGTGTTATGGCAGCACGATGGAGATTTAAGAGCCTCACTTAAAGGTACTGGCACTAACAGTTAGCACCCTGACACCTTCCATCTGAGGAGCTCTGAACACACCACACACGTGAATTCATTGCACCTCAAGATAATCCTGCAAGGCAGAGTTTCGCCCCTATTCTAAAGCCAGGCAAATGAAGACAGAAAAATTAAGTTTCTTGCCTTAAGATAGAGTTGGGACAAGAACCCAGGTGTTCTAACTCCCACATTTCTCATGCTCCCTATGTCTGGACACAAGCGTGCTACTCCTACAAGATAGGGTGGTGCATCTGAGCAGCTCAGTTAATAACAATGGGTGCCTTACAGTGCCACAACACTGCTCTGAGCTGTTACATTGTCAACAAAAAAAACCCAAGCAGACCAGCAAGTCCTGCAATGCTGCACTTGTGGGGGGAGAAGGGGCAGCCCCTTTTGTCCCCACTCCCAGCCCTTCCTCTGTGCCCTTCCTCACCCCAAGTCACACACAGCCCCTCCTTCAGGAGGGAGAGGATGCTCTCCTTACCTCACTCCCCATGCTTTCTTTCCTCTGAGCAGGGTTTATAGCAATTCTGTGCAGAAGGCTTAATATTCTCTAGAAGTCAGAAGACCGTGTGGTTGCTTTGAATGCATTTTGTCATTTCTTCTGCCTGATAAAGACTGGAATAGGGGTCTGGGGGACATGCCCCTCACCAGCCTCCTTCATCACTGCACATGCTTGGCTGGTATGCTGCTTGGACAGTTTTCTTCTCATCCCCATTCTCCTCCCCTTGTTGTATACTCTCACTGTGGGAACATGGTGCCTCCTTGTGTCTCTCCACTCAAAAGCCACAGCAACAGCTATTAAAACGGATGCCCTCCTTACCACATCTTCATCTGCTTTAACCAATGGAGCAAAGGATGCAAGCATGCCTAATGGGTTGGGGCAGAGAGAGCCTCTCACCAGCCTCATCCTTTCCCCCAGTTCTTTTCTGAAGAGCCTGTCCCCATGCTGAGGCACTGAAGCTTCTCACACAATAGTTCACAGCACCTAGTATACCGCCCTGCTGTGAAAATTAGGCCTGGAGTATCTGGCATGAGAATAGCAACACCAGCAGAACTATACAGAAATCAGAGAACTGTCTGGCATAACAAAGCAGGGGCTGTCCATTGTCTGCATCCCTGTGGATCTGAAAACCTGTGTCTAAAATAGGGTGGCCATTCATCCAGTTTGAGAGAGGACAGTCCAGTTTTCTGGTCCTCTGTCCTCTATTGATATGAAATTAGATGCCTTTATGTCCTCTATTTTTCACCACTCGGCACCCCCTCCCCACCGCTGCCACCGCCACGGCTGCCTGCGGGAGCGCCCCACTCAGCCCACCCCTGCCGCTGACACCACCGCAGCTGCATGCAGGAGCTCCCCAGTCACCGCCACCACTCCCCCACCACTGACACCACTGTGGCCACCTGTGGGAGCTCACTGTGCCCCCCCAGCCGCAGGAGGCACACAACGTTCATGGTGGTGGGGACAGTACAGTTGCACTAAATGCAACTGTCCTCTATTCTTGAGGTACCTCGATGGCCACCTGAGTCTAGAAACACTAGAATGCATTAGAATTTACTAGAGGTGAATCCATGACTAGTCTCTCATCTTTAGAGACATGAGTGACTCGTGCCTCCTGAATCTAGGGGAGCAACCGCAGAAGCTGCTGCCGGTGGCAGCCCTGTCAGGGGTGGGGGGGCACCAGCCCTACCGACAGCATCCATGTTGGCTGTCAGGGGGGGCACCAGCCTCTTCAGGGAGGCACGTGCACCCCTGTGCACCCCCTACCAGTCGCCTGTGTTTAGAGAAACCAGAAGACAAAGCCAACACTCCACGCCCTGTTAAACTGAATGCACTGGGTGGCAGGCAAGTCCTATGCTGGGAAAAGCTGAATGAATAATTTCACAGTGCATTTGACCAATGCCACAGTATTTGGGAGATGAATGCTAAACAAGCATTGGCTTTGTGATACCCCAGCTGAGTTGGGCAATGAGCGTAGCACTTGGAGTTTCTTGCATTTTTCAAGTCAAACGTTCCTGACTCTGCTGTCTGTGAGACTCCTGTAGCAAAGGATAGATCTGTTGCCAATCCCCTACTGCAGCCTTATCCAGGATTACTTTAGAAGGGAGATTTTTATAAGTACCTTGGCGGTGGGCTGGAAAAGAACGGTGTGACCTGGGGCTCTTACAAAGCAAGGGGACTATCCCAACTACCAGTGGTGTCAGGATGCTACAGAATGGTCCTGTCTGGGACCAGGTAAAACAGAGAATGGTAACATGCAGCAACAGTGAGGGGAAGCCATTTATATTACATAGCCCTTGTGCCTCCTCAGGAAACACACTGAATGTCCTAAATTACAATGGCTCTGTCCTCCAAACGCCCCTCATTAACTCTTTTTTCTTTAAGTCATAAAAGATGTACCGGGCCAAATCCCCACCTTGTACCAATAAACTTCAATTCATAGATTTTGATGGACTTACAGCAATTTACATCAAGGATATGGCCCATACACACCTAGACAGATCCTCAGTGTAAGTAAGCACCGTTCCATTGACTCCCATGAAGTTACACCCATTACACCAGCTGAGGATGTGGCCCAGTTTCATCTAGCTTTTATAAAATGACAGAATTTTGCCAGCAGCCATGGAACAAAATGTGCTGCTAAAGTCCACAGGCAAGCCAAAGATTGTGCTATTTCTGGTATAGCAGATAGCTTAGAGGCTAATGTGTATATGACAAACAACCAGAGTGCAAATTAAATAAGGTTTTACACTACCAGGAAAAAAAACACAAAGATGACAGGGAAATACAAACAAACAGAGGAGCCCTTGAACAGCAGCAGGGAGTTGGAGTCTGTGTGTTTGTGTGGGTTTCTCCTGCCCTCTAGCTCTGATCTGAACAGATGTGCATGCAGGGTGATTAACAAGACGAATCTTTAGTCCAATTTGGGTTTAAAAATGTAATAGGACGGGAGGCTGTGGGGGCAGGGGAGTATTAGAGAGATTTGGGTCTCTAAGAAGGTTAAATCCCCACAAATAGCCTTCAGCCTGTGGCAGCTCTAAACCAGCAAAATTCCCTTTATTTAAACACTTGAGCTTAAAAAAAAATTATAAGAAGATTTCAGAGAAATTATGCTTAAAAACTGTCCGATTGTTCCCATGTCTGTCTGTAGCGGTGCCTGCTTAAGACCCTCATGTCTGCATTTTCACAATTATCATCCGTCTCCCCCTTTCTTCTCCATTTCCATCCATCTCAGCATGCGCTGAGGCCCTGAGCAGCTAGCATATCTACCAGGCCAAACAGTTCTCCTTCTGATGTCTCCCAGAATTAAAGCACCATTGTATTAACCAGCCTCTTCAGCCTGGTACCTCTTGTGATCTGAGCAATCAAGTTACTCCTAGATGACCCTAGGAGAGGAGTTCAAAATGAGCCACGTGCTGGTTTTATCTAACTCTAACTGTGCCTGGGACAGGCTGGGATTTGATTCAGAGAAAAATTAAGCTAAAACAGGATTCAAAATCAGGTTGGGTAGGCTGTTGGGAGCTTTATCAAGAGCCTGGCGTGAGCTCCCAGAAAAGGCTGAGCATTGCCTCCTGCCTCTCCCAAAACAAAGGAGACAGTTGTACTTACTTGAAGAAGTCTTCCTTGCAGTAGACGCTGCCAGCTCTGGAGAAGCACCTGTCTGCCAGCTGCATTTGGCAGTCCGCACACTTGAGGCAGGAGCTGTGCCAGTGCCTGTCTAGGACTTTCAGGATGAATTTATCCAGGATGTGCTGGTTGCAGCCAGCACACTGGGGAATCTCTGAAGGGGCAGCGATTGGAAGAAAGAAAGGAGAAGAGCAGCGTCAGTGAACACAGCACCCTTTGAGGAAGAAATCAGCAGCAAGTGAGGACTCAGAGTCCTTTGCTGTACCTGGTGAAGATATGTGGATGAGAACAGGCCACTGACTGAAGGTCTAATATCCATGAAGCTAAGCTCGTGTTGTGGCCCTGTACCCTCAGTGTGAGCACTTCACACTCCCACTTCCCCCTGCTGATGGCCCTCTTCTGCTGCTCCAGCAATATCACCCACTTCCCTCAGCACAGTATTATTTGTTATAACTCATTGTCAACCAGATACGGAGGTATCAGGGCCCTGTTGTGCCACCTAGTGAGAGAGACCCCTTCAGTGCTTCATCTCCCCTTCCTCACTGATGTCATCCTCAAGGACCTGCACAACTTCACCCGCTCAACTTCCCTTTCCTCTTGCTCTCTCTTTGGCTTCCTGTGCCCAATAAATGGAAGAGGGAGCAGATTGCACACCATCCCTGGCCAACCCTGATGAAGTGTGTGAGGAACATGAGGCATTTAGACGATGGAGAGCAGCTAATGCTAAATTGTGGGTTGCACTACAAAAGGTTCTGTTAGAAATGGCTCATGCTGCTGGAAATTATAGCTTCTGAATGGGCTAAGCAGTCCTAATTTTCTGTGGTCAGCAAAACTCCCATATCAAGAGGAGCGCCTGTCTCATGTCCTGGTCAAATGTTCATCCCACTGCCAATACCCCACCTAACTACTCCCCCCTGCAGTTACTGTGTCTTTGTACTGAATTTGACATACAAGCATAGGTCAGGTTGCACATATCCAGACCATGCACACAACACTGTGCAAAAGGACATTATTATGGTTGCAAAAATAAAGCACTCAGAAAATGGAAATTATCTTTCTACCCCTAGGAAATTATCTTTCTACCCCTAGTAAATCTCTCATCTAATTTCCTCATCCCTGTTGCCCCTCACTCCCAGTCTCTAGCTGGGCTTCTTGTCTGATTTCAGTGTCCTACCCCCCTTCACCCACTTTCTTCATCAGTTTCTTTGCTCAGCCAGTCCCAGGTCCCTCTCAACCCTCTGACTTCTTAGCAGCGCCATTTCCACTACTCTCCCATCTCTTTTCCCAGCCTACTAATTCCTAGGCCCCTTGCCCAAAGGGCTCCAATCCCCTTGCCTAGTCAATTACAACCTTTTCTCCATTCCTTGGTTCCTTTCCCAGTCTTCCCCACCAGCTCCCCATCCCAGTTTAACCTTTCCACTCTCCACCAGCCTGCATGTTCATTCTTCCAGTTTGTATCAATATAGTTGCTCCAGTCCCACCATATCCAGCTCTTGTCCCATCTGCATTAGATCCAGACATATTCTTCCTCCATGCTGCTTGGGTCCAGATACAGAAGCACTCAGACCCCCCCAAGAGAGCTCCCTGCTCTTGGTTTGGATACTTAGACCAAGCAGCAGCCTGGCCCAACAAGGAACTGTAGTTACAGGGAAATCTGGCACAGCCCCCAGCAGCCCCAGGCTGAGGCATGAAATTTGCAGGGGATTAAGTCTCCAAGTTCTGCAAAATCTTCACTGTGAAGAAGTGAACTGTAATTGCTCAAAGGTTTATAACCTGGCCAAAGCTAGGTGCATTTCCAAGGGGAAAGGAAAAAGTGTGCCTGTGACCCTAAGGTCATCCCTCATGTTAGATTGCAAGTCCCAGCTCCAAAGCATGAGGTCACAAAGACTGCTCAAAGAACATTTGCCAACATTTTTTAACCTGAGCAAACGCATCAGGATGTTTTTCTTAGCCTTGCCTTAAGAAACAGATTTTTCTTTTTTGCTTAAATTTTCCAAGAAAAGGTAGATGCACTGTGGACAATCCAAGTCATTAAATTCTGGCATCACGGTAAGCTACTGAAAGCTGGGGCACATGTTAGGAAGGGTCCAGAAACCTTAATAATAGGCAGTGTTACCAGTCCCACTTCTAATATCACAGCCTGCAAGGAGTAGGACTAGGTAAGATAATGCCTGAAACAGAAGAATCTGGGAGAAGTTCTGGTAAAAGTTTGAGCCTCTGCTGTTTAAATCAGCACCAACCTTTTTGGCGGGCATGCCACAAATTAAGCCCCACACCCTCCCCAAGTACCACTCTAGTCCCCTTCCCTTGCCTAGTTTGCTGCTCTACTTTCTGCTCCTTTCTGTGCTCCTTGTGCAATCTGCTGCTCTGCTTTCTACTTTCTACCCTGCTCTCCCTGCCCCATCTGCTGATCTTTTTTCTGCTCCTTGCCCTATGTGCTGCCTGCCCCCTCCCCAACCTGCCACGTGCCACACACACAGGCTGCCCATGCCACTTGTGGCAGGCATGCCATAGGTTGGCCGACCCTGGCTTAAATAAAGTACTAGCACCTTCAGCTGGCAGCTGTGGAAGCTTCTTACCCTCCTTAGCAGACCAAGGAGTCACTAAAATACACACTATGCTATTACAGAGTACATGACCAGCTGATGAGCATAAAGGCATCTACAGAGTATATGATGTGGTATGTGAAAAAAAGAGTGAAGTGACAGAGCAGAAGAGCAAAACTAGTACGAGGAGCAAGGTCATATGGCTCATTGCTGTCTTACTGACTCCAGTCAAACTGACTGGTCCCCTCTCTTCCCACCTTTCCCCTATGCAACCCCCATCCTTGTTTATCAGTAGAAGTGGCTGTTCCAGGGGTCCAGCTTGTAAAAATTCTCCTCTACCACCTAGGCCTGTATAGCAATCCAAAAACAGCCACCAAGTCAGATCATGGAGTCTGTGCGCTGTTTATTCATTCATTTCATGTCCTCTGCAGTTTCATTTGGATACTGGGTAACTACTTTGCTTTCCCTCCTAAACTGCTGTGCCGTGTTCCTGAGCCCTGTTAAATTGCTACCTTGTTCCCCGCCAAAGGTGGTTGCATTTCATTGGCGTCTGAAATGATCCCACTGGTACAGTATTTATGCTTTGTAAAGGGCTTTTAAGATGCTTTGGGGTGAGAGAGTCTATATAAATGCAAGATATATATCTAGCTATCTAGATTCATATAAGATGTCTGTCTATAGATAGGCAGCTTATATAGATCTAGATTGCCAGATATTTATCTCTATTTCTATCTGACTATAGTTCAGAATAAATGGAATGCGCTGTAAAAGTCTGCAGGAGAAGATTGCCCAGTAAAAGCAATGCACATAATGCTGACATGCATGCATGAAAAAAGATTGATTTCTGAAGAAACATGCCCCATAGCAGGAATGTAATATCACTGAAGATGTTTATGCATCAGGTCTTCCTTTCTCTCTGTCTCCTATTGGATAATTTGGTGGTATCAGGAGACTGACTGGTAGTAAATATTTGGGCATTTTCATGCTGCCACAAATCCTGATAATGATCAGGAGTTACCCTATTTTAGCAAAATGGTATAGCCAGGCTGATTGGCTTATTGATAAGTGTTTTAAAACTCATGGGCATCAGCCAGTCTGAAGCCAGTTTACCCTCTGAAATAGACTTCACTAACACAAAAAAATCAACCCTATACCTCTTAAAGCCATTTCCTGATTGGCAGAAGCAGGTAATCGGCTTCTGGGCCAACCAAAGTATGGCTTGTCTGATGTGGTCAAGTGGACCCTCCAATATGTCTTCAGCGCTGGTTTGGAGCAATGCTGTCTGGGAAGGAGGGCAGCTCTTGCAGGCAAGACATTAGACTAGAGCTGGATAGGCTCTGCCACTGACCACATGTGTAACCATGGGCAAGCCACTTAACAGCTTCCTGTATCAACTCCTTGCAAAAAAAAGATACTTTTTTTGTCTTTGGAGCTTCTAAGCTTTTCATACAGGGACTGCATCATTCTATTTGTATGTAGAGCTTGTAGCACAATCTTGAGGGGTGCAGCCTACATGGCTCTATCATAATAGCAACACTAATACAAAGCTCTTTTTTAAATTCTTCGTAGTAATGTAGGGCCGGAAGGAACTTCGAGAAATCATCTAGCTCATCCCACTGCACTGAGGCAGAATCAAACCTGCTTAGACCACCTCTGACAGATGTTTGTCTAACCTGCTCTTCAGCCTCCCCAGGTAGTCTGGTACTTTGTCTTACCATACTAACAGAAAGTTGTTTTCCTAATATCCAGTCTAACATCTTCTTTGCTGCAAATTAAGATGATTTTACCTTGTACTTTCCCAAATGGCTGGTGAGACAAATTGATCACTGTCCTCTTTATGACAAACTTTTACATATTGGAGGATTGTAATCATGTCCTTCTTCTGTCCACTCTTTTGTCCATTCTTTCCTAGACTAAACAAATCCAGTTCCTTCAAGCTTTCTTCACAGTTCATGTTCCCCAAACTTTATAGCATTTGTATTGCTCCTCTCTGAACCGTCCCCAATTTTTTTTTCTCTCTCTCAGTACAGCATGCCAGCTGAGGCATCCTTGGTACACATTGAACAGAGTAATTTACCTCTGATGTCTCATATATGACACTCCTGTTAATATATCCCTGAATTAGATTTGTCTTTTTATAACAGCATCACATTGTTGACTCATATTTATTTTTTGATCCATTATAAACCCCAGATCCTTTTCTGTAGTATTGCTGCCTAACCAGATAGTCCCCATTTTGCTTTTCTTTTCTAAGTGCTTTTCACTTGTCTTTATTGAGTTTCACCTCGTCGATTTCAGACCATTTCTCCAATTTTTCATGATCATTTTGAATTTAGATCCTGTCCTTGCAGGCACTTGCAACTCCCCTCTCGCCAGCTTGATGTCAGCAGCATATTTTGAAAGTAGGCTCTCTGCACCATTGTTCACATTGTTAATGAAAATATTGAATAGAGCTGAATCCAGGATAGACCCCTTTGGGATCTCACTTGAAATGCCCTCCCTATTTGACAGGGGACTACTGATAACTATTCTCTGAAAGCAATTTTTCAACTACATGTGTCCTGACCTGATGGTGATTACAGCTAGAGCACACTTCCTTCATCTCAGTCTCTTTCTCCTTTAGTGACCCAGTGACTAGCTAAGGAGAATCACTGATGGGTTCCAAAGAGCATCCTACCCAGCCACCTCCAAAATCCACATGACACAAGGCAATGAGGATCAGATGGAAAATTGTCCTTCTCATCAAAGATGAAAGAATAAGAGAAAGATATTAAATATAATCAATATGCCTGCTTTGTCTTTTAAAATGGAATTGTCTTTGTTTGGGTCAGCTCTTCCACTACTATCATATGCCTGCAGAATGGCTTTCATTTATTTAATTTATTTTAACTAAATTATTTGGTATAATAGGAATAATGTTAATGGAATTATACACTGTGACTAGATTACTGTCTAGCTTTTTAACAACAAATGTCTCAGCTTCACCTCTCTGCTTGCAGTATTTTTGATAAATACTTTACCTCAGCATTTGTCTTTCAATGACAGCTATCCAGCACAATAAGTAATTAGATTAGTGGTCCTGCTTAATTGACTGCATATCTATCTGTACAAATTCATTCCCCATTTGTTCTTATGCCTCTACCTACATGAATATCTAACATGTACAGAAAATACAGTCCAATAAGAAAAGAGAGATATATGTCTTTTCTTATTCTTAATATCTTTAGAATATTCTTGCCCTGTCGCTTTTCCACTATACATGATCAATTGTTTTTAGAGGGAATTACTACTGGCCACAACTACAGGATGAGATAGGACCACATGAGCTTGCAATCTACAAAAGGGTCAGCCAAATGATAGGACAAAATAATTTAGATCCTATATGGAAAAATCAGCCTTAAATACAATGAATCATATGATTCCACACCACAGGGCTTGGGTTACAGAATGCTTTTGCGCTGGGCACTCACTAAACACACATCAGAGCCATATCTTACTTGCATGGTGCTTTCCTTTATCTTCCTTTAGCAGCTGGACCATATGAAGGGATTAGAGTCTACTACTGTTTGCAACAAGTGCTAAAGGTACCCATTTTTACTGCTAAAAGCCCTTGTTCAGAGCAACCCACATAGGTAGCATTACACCATGATAACATTAAAATCTACACACTGAAGCTTCTTACTGATTTTAGCTATTTTAATCATGGACATTAACTTGGAGAGGGAAAAAAACACAACATTTTATAATAAAAATAATCTTAAAATTCCTCTGTGCCCAATTGTTTTCAGGTATGATTTTCAACTACTGTTCAGAAAAAAATATAAAATAGTGGGATATAATGTTTGACTCCAAATATTAGCTACCAATTATTTTCTGATCAGGATTCTCAAAAGCAAAAAGGGATCTGGGGTGTTTTGGTTTTTGCATGACTGATTTACGGAAGATACTGAGAACTCACTGCCCTGAAAATGAAACAGTGTGAAAATGCCTCAAACCAGGCACTGTAAAAATCTATCACATCTGAAAATCTATTACTAACTTAAGTGCATCTAAAGGCTAGGCTGTACCCCCTCTGTGTGTGGCTTCATTCAAGAGTGAAAGAAAGACCAGAGAGACATCCCCCAGTGCATACAGCAAAACAAGATCCCTCTCGGTATGCAGGAAAGAGCTTTAGAGCAACATCAGATTTTCTGAACAGACTTATACACCAGGACATTAAAAAAGCTCTGGCTAAGAAGTAATATATGACTAAACCTCAGCTGAATTTTACACATGCTGTGATGTACAGCATTTAAAAACCAGGGGTACATGATGCTGCTTTTCAGGCAAGCAATAAGTTGTGCCTGGTTCCAGAATTCCCCCAGCCTTGTTGGCTGCATGGGATCAGGCTTTTGGGAGTCAAGGATACCCTGCTGTGTGTGCATCCCTGCTCTCTCTATAACTACTGTACTATTAACATTAAAAAAAAATGTAGCTCATACTTCAGGTTCGGTACTACTCCTTGCCCTGCCCACTAGGGTTTTGAAATGATGGATTGACAGATTCTCTGTGGTCTGTATCAATGCCACTCGCTGGCAGCACGTCTGATATCAGATCAGTGGTTAGAATGATTTATCACACCCAGCTTCATCTTTAGATCACCATCTCCCGTCAGAAAAAAATAATTATTGAAACAAAACGGATTCTGAAAGACTGCAGAAAATTCTTAACACCAGTTTGTCACCAAGAATGTCAGAAATAAAAATGTAGACATAATCCAAGAGACCCCTGAATGGATGTGGTCCCAAGGCAAATCTCAGAGCCTGGCCCCCTAATCTTCAAGGAAGTACAACATCCAAATGTGAATTTTCCAGATGGTCCCTACTTTTTTTTTTAAGACAAGATGAAAACAAATCCTTCAAATTCAAACATTTCTCAGATTTGGGGATCTTAGTTTTGGAGCAAGAATGCATTTCCAGCCATGCTCCTTTCTCATCCTGCATCTCACATTTGTAGCACAACCACACACATGGAACACATAGGCAATGGAACCTGCTTTTAGTGAGCACAGATATAATGACAGTACCAGCTAATGGAGCTGCTCCTTTAAAAATAAATAAAAAGCCTTTATGGGGATATAAAAAGGTAACTCCAGCTGAAGCAGACAAAGCCCCACATTGTTTTATTACATCACAAAGTGCAATTTGCTTTCCTGGATCTTTTGCTCAGTCTTTTCCCACAAGTTCCAATGAAAGTTTTGCTTGAGTGAGAACTGCAAAATCAGTCTCCAAAGGAAGGGGAGGGGGGGGGGGGGGGGGGGGAATAACTTGCTTGGCTCCCTGTGATCAGAGACCTGACTGGGAGAATGACTTGCATTTGAAAGCTTTATCCCAACCACATAGTCGGTCCAATAAAGCAGATCACCCTAAGAAATCATTGCCCCACACATTCCTGGACCATCACAGCTACATCATTTCTGGATGTCTGTAATTTCTGGACCATCAGCTACAACATCACTTGTACACTGCAGTTAACTCCAAACCTGATACAGAGCCCCTTGAAGACTTTCCATCTACTCAGTGAGCTGTGGCTCAGCTCTTCTGGGAAGCTTAGTTATTCAGCATGAACATGATAATATCACCCTGAAAATGAGGATCCTGGTCCCATTGTGCTGGTTGCCACAAGACATAGTTCCTGCAGGGGGAAGGGTTCAGTCAAATATCAACAGTGTTTACATTTTTCCAACTATTTAGTTGGTCTAATAAAAGATAGCACATTTACCCAAAGAATCTTGTCTGCCAACAGTATTTAAAGACAAGTATCAATTTGCACTGTCACTTTTTTTTAAATAAAATAAGTGCCAACTAATCCCACCTGCTCTGAACCTAGACATTAGACCCAAAACATCTGGGTCAAAAGGATCAGTCTTTATGAATATGATATTATATTCACATATTTTATATTACTTATTTTATACCAAAGAGTTTCACAGACTACACACATGCAGCACCACTGGAATGCAACCGCCTCAGGGGTAGAGAGCCCTGGCTGACTGGTGCACAGAGCACTGTACAGGAACAGAGGGGTGGACATAAAAAAAAAGAAAACGAAAAGAAAAGCAAGGACAGTGTTTGGGACTCTAATATTCATGAAGAACAGACAGGAATAGTTTCTAAGACCACACTGAAAGATACCCTCACAGGTACAGCTGAGTCCAAACCTCCATCCCCAGAACTGAACTCCTGCTCACTGCAGAGAGAACTGTGTGCACCTAATTAATGCAGGACTGGGCCCATCAGATGGGCCACTATAAAGAATTTATTGCCATGAGTTTGCAGTGACCATTCTACTCCTGTGAATGAATTATGAGGCTTTTCCCAAATAAGCAGCAATGAAAACTTTATAGCATCACTGCCATCACATATTTTGTTTATGCCACTAATTTTTGTCCTTTAAAAAAAAAAAACTGATTTGCTATTTCCTCCTTAAAGTACATTAGTTACTATGGAAACAGTGATGTCATTTGTATAGGCAGACCTTAGTGACATCCGAATGAAAAGGTAGGGGAGTTTTGTGGCAGAACGAGCCCTACGCTGTTACCAGAGGTGAAGGCAGGATTAGAGCTAATGACTCAAATCCTCAACCGCGGTGAACTACAGAAATTCGGTCAATATAAATAGAGATACACTGATTTACACTATACTCAGATTTGGCTGCATTTTTAAAGCTAATTCCAGTTCCTATATTGCTCCAAACGATCTTCAAATAGCCCTAGGTATGTCCTTAGCACCAGAACACAGACAAAAGGACAATCTTATAGAGAGAAAAAAATAAGCATAAATATAAAGGAGAAGACAAGGGAAAAGCTCCCTGTGCAACCGGATTCCCGATCCTTGCATTAATACTTTGCGTCTGCCTCAAATGGACACTGTTCAGGGCGGGATCGGGGTTAACTCGGGCGGTAAAGCAGGGCTGGGAAAGGCAGGTGAGGCCCCGGGGGGGCCCTGCCACCGAACAGCACCCGCATGTAGAAATGGGGGCGACGTTGGTTGTGCGGGAGCTCGCGGGCTCCAAGCCGCAGGCTGCTGTCACCGCCCCGCGGCCACGTACGAAGGGCTGGAGCTTCACTGTCAGCACGGCCGAGCGCGGCCAGCAGCACCACAGCACTACGAGGCTGTGATCGGGGTAGGAAACAGGGGCAAGGGCAGAGTCAGACTTTGCCCACCGCTAGCTGACATGGATTGAGAACAAATCCGTTTAATTCTCCAACCCCTGTATAAATACCTAGGGTACAGGCTCCCCCATCACGCGTGGGATTAGCCAGGACTTTGAAATGATCTGCGATCCCTGGCCGCATAGACCACCTGAGGCTGAACTATGGCAGGGTCTCCTAAACGCCGGGATTATTTGGGAAGCTGGATGGGCTGGACGGACGTGTCTCCGAAGAAATGATCGCGGTGGGAGGAGGAGCGCACCGGGCTCTGCCGGGAGGAGGCCAGCGCCCGGCCAAGGGCTCTGCCACCGCCCGGGGCTGCGGCGCAGGGGGAGGCCAGCGCCCCTGCCCCTGCCCCTGCCCGTGCCCCGCCTGCACGTGCAGAGCCCGGCTCCGGGGTCATTCACTGTGACTGTCCCACGTGCCCATTCACATGGAGTCCTTGTGAAGAAGGCAGAGGAGATGTATACGTTATAGACTGCCTAAAGTGTGCGTCTATCTATCTATCTATCTATCTATCTATCTATCTATCTATCTATCTATCTATCTATCTATATATATACTATCTATCTATCTATCTATCTATCTATCTATCTATCAGTATCGTACGGTATATATATCTGTGTATCTTTCTAGCTATCTACGTATCTGTCTATCTACCTATCGGTATATGTAGGTGTACCTATCTCTCTTTTTATGTCTGTATATACGGTATATGTATGTGTATATATTTATCTATCTGAGTATCTATCTGTATATGCCGTATATGTAGGCGTATCTATCTATCTATCTATCTGGTATATGTATGTATCTAAATATCTATTTATATATACGATATATGCAGGTGTATATATCTAGATAGATAGATAGGTAGATAGATATCAATATATCCATAGATATAGATATAGATGTGTGTGTATCTATTTAGCTATCTATCGGTATATAACATATTTGACGGTGTGTATCTGTCTATAAATACGGTATATGGATGCATGTATATCTACGTATCTATCTATATATACCATATGTGTAGGTGTATCTATCTGTCTGTCTGTCTATACGGTATATGTATGTGTTTCTATCTAAGTATCTGTGCATACAGTATATGCAGGTGTGTGTCTCTGTCTCTGTATATGTGGTATATGCATGTGTATCAATTTAGCTATCTACGTATCTATCGGTATATACTGTGTATGAAAGTGTATCTATCTACCTATCTATCCGTATATACGGTATATGCAAATCTCTCTCTCTCTGTACATACGATATATGTATATGTGTCTATTTAGCTATCTACAGATATCTATCTGGATATACGGTATATGCAAGTCTGTCTGTCTGTGTTTATCCGTCTCTCTGTGTACGTATATATGCAGGTACGTGTACACAGATGCAGTAGGTGCAGTAGAGCAGTAGGTGCAGGGGCAGGCAGGGCGCACAGAGCTGACCGGGCACGGCGAGGCACCACGGGCTCCCGCGGACTCGGGCTCGGGCTCGGGCTCGGGCTCACCTCCTCGGCTGTTTGTGCTGGACCGGGCCACGAGGTGCCCCCTGCCGCCTGCCCGTGGGCGCTGCCAGGACCCCACTCGCACCCGGCCCTGGGGCCACCCCACGGCAACTCCTGCCCTTGGAAGCAGGGCCCCGACGGGGCGCCGCGCGGCCACGGGACCCCGCA